CAGTGAAACGTTCACATAACATGGCAACCATGTGTCATGTCTGATAGAAGCAACAGAGGATTCAAACGCCTTGCAGGCACGGTTCAACCTTGCCTATCTCATACAACAAGAGGAATAAACCTCTATAAACCAGTGATTTAAACTGCACATGCAGCCAGTTTCCATTGCTTTCATTATTGCTGTTGTCACATATAAAGTCTGGCCTAATGGTTAGAGAGTCGGACTCGTAACCCAAAGGTTGCGGGTTCAAGTCTCGTACCGGCAGGGATTGTGGGTGGGGGGGGCGCTCTCTCTCCCACCTTCAATACCAGGACCGAGGTGCCCTTGAGCAAGGCACTGAACCCCCAACTGCTCCCCGGGCGCTGCAGCATAAATGGCTGCCCACTGCTCCGGGTGTGTGTTCACAGTGTGTGTGTTCACTGCTGTGTGTGTGCACTTAGGATGGGTAAATGCAGAGCACTAATTCCGAGTATGGGTCACCATACTTGGCCACATGTCACGTCACTAAAGGCATTAGCTTCTGTAGGGCACTAATGGCCTCCCAGCAGTGAAACGTTCACATAACATGGCAACCATGTGTCATGTCTGATAGAAGCAACAGAGGATTCAAACGCCTTGCAGGCACGGTTCAACCTTGCCTATCTCATACAACAAGAGGAATAAACCTCTATATACCAGTGATTTAAACTGCACATGCAGCCAGTTTCCATTGCTTTCATTATTGCTGTTGTCACATATAAAGTCTGGCCTAATGGTTAGAGAGTTGGACTCGTAACCCAAAGGACTTAGGATGGGTAAATGCAGAGCACTAATTCCGAGTATGGGTCACCATACTTGGCCACATGTCACGTCACTAAAGGCATTTAGAGCCATTTAAAGTGACCGCATTTTCATTAACACGCATTGGCACTAGGTTAATGAGCACCAAGAGACATTTGCGTTTTTGAACGAATTAATAAACGAAGAAAGGAATGAAGAAGCATCCAATCATTTTAAGGTAGACGTACCCATTTATAATGATATAGCCTAATATACGGGTATAAATGTAATTTATCACCTAAATTGTCAAGTATAAAGTTTGTATAGGTCAGTACCACTAGAGCAACACGTAGCGATATTGCAGTGCCAGCGGACCTTCATTCGATCATTGATTTGTTGTTTTCGCCTTAAAGGGGATGATACAACATAAAACCAACGACTGATCCCCCTCAGCTATCAAAATGACTGACAGATGTTTCTCCTGAGAGCGTTACTAGAAGCGTTCAGTCCGCGCGCGTCTCCATTGAGCTCGCGCATCTGCCATCGAGACGCGAGTCAAACGATTTAGCAATTTCACAATGTTCACAAACAACTGGGTATAGAAACAGCATAAAACACGTTCTTAATAACAATACATAAATAACACAAAAACTGATTCGAATGAAGCGCTTAACAATCGACTGAAGCTTTCGCGCGTCAAGTAAAGCGACCACAGAGCGTCCGTTAAATTCCACGATTCATTTCTGAAATTCTATAAATAAACAGGCTATGTGTTGTACAAATTGTGTCAAATCGCATAAAATGTAACTGCTTGACGCTTTCTCGCCTTACCTTTGCAGTTTAGACATGTATCCCTGTTACTTTTTGGTCGTAATTCTTTGAGGCGGCTCTGGAGAGGCGGTGAATGAGGGGGCGTTAAGAGACAGCTGTGTTCATACGAATAAACGATGGTGAAGCAGGAATTAACTGACAGGACTTGCTTAATATTGATCAAGAGACAAATCACAGTTCTCTAGGAACAGGTCTGCAGGATGACAGACCCGAGCTAATCGAACAAAGCATATAGATTCTGTCTGAGAGTGAAGAATTGACTGATTGTAGGCTGCTTGTGACCATCTCAGACTTAGCCGAAGGTTTTAAGATGGCACATGACATTTTCTTTGTACTTTTTTGGATTGTTTCATTATGTGACAGGCTTTCAAGGCATTAAAAACCTTAAAAGGAGAGAGAGTTTAATATGGCTAATGAGGGCAATGACTATTTACAGTCTATCTGACATGTTTTGGTCAGAATGCACCTTATTTAGGGTAGGGTGAGTTCAGGTTGATTGGGACATTTTGTCCCAGTCATCTCAATGACAAAAAGTGTCCTAATTTACCCGAATTTACCCCTGTGTCATATTTATTTGCATTTTCCCTCAGCCTTCTATTCATTTGTGAAAAAATATGACACCTACCCTGAATAAGATCCATAATGCAGCCTATTTGTAGTGAACTTTAAGATCAGATAGCAATTAAAGCATATACAAAATTGCTAAGGTCCCACATATTTTACACAATATTTGAAGTAAATCCACCTAAAATATTTGTAAAGAGAACATTTGCTATATCAGGTGACAAATGGTTTTGTAACTCACATAAAGGGGATAAAACATCTGAGATCGATAAGCGGGTGGTGGGCTTTGGATCCCTCGAAAGGCATAATGAACCCCCATAAGAAATTATTAAAGATATTTTTATAGGAAAATAATAATTGCCATAATTTATTATTCCAAATAGTCTAATACTGGCCAATTAATCTAGTCTTGTAAGTCTTGACCAACCAAACTTGGAAGATTTTTTATGGAGAAATGGATCAGGATATATATATATATATATATATATATATATGCAAAGCAGCACTTTGATCCACTGTAAAATTGTAAGGACTTCAGCAGGCTGGTGTGACTATTTAATCTAGTACGCCGTGTGATGTATTTATTTTTATGCCTTGGCAAATGCTGAAGATATGCAGTTTCATGTGTTCATTTGCTCACATGTTCCTGTGTTTTTTTCCTCTGAGAGAGAAAAAAGGGAGAGAAAGAGACTCACCAGCCACTGTTCGCCCACACATCTTCAGGTAGAGAAGAAGCGCTGATTATCAGCACTCAGTTATGTAGTGCTTCAAACATCCCTGTGGTCTGAACACACTGAGAGGTGCATGTATTAGAGACTGTGGTTCCTTATTCACGTGGGTGTTTATTCTGTCACTAGGGTATTTTTGCCATGAAAGCAATTCCTCAGATTCAATGGATGCTGTTGCAGCAATAATGCAATCGCACCTTTAACCAACAGGGAGTCAGCCTTTCCTCACAAACATCGTGCATTGAGGGTAAATAATGCCTCAAGATTATTTACCAAGGTCTTTCAAGGCCATTCTATCAAAGTTAGACATGAGAAAGAAGGAATCAATGGGATTTTATGCATGAAGTTGATACTGGATCTAAAGCACGTTGCTCAAACATTAGCAAGTGCTTATTGCTGATGCACTGACCCATAAACTCACACTCCTCCACCATTTACTAATTTCTCCACAAGCGTGTCACCCAGTCACTCATTCGCCCCGTAATTCCTGCCCCACAGACATGCTTACATTGTCATCTGATTAAACAAATATATCAACTGTGGTTTTGTCAAAAGCTTAAAAGAGATACTTTCATCACCCACAGGCAAAATTTCATTAATAAAACCAGCTGGCACTGGCCTCTTTCTAGGGTGTTTTTAAACCACTGAGAATATTAAGAAACGTCTCTCTGGTATGCAGTAAAAGTGCATTGACCTGCATAAGGAATATATAGCAAGATGAGAATGATTTGAATGAGAACATGTACTTGTCAATATAATGGCATGTAAGGAAATCCGAAAAGTGAAAAAAAACATGTTGACATTCACCATGTTATCATTAAATAAACTACAATGATTAACAGCACAAACTCTTCAACACAAATTTAGACTCTTACCTATTTTTCAATTGTTTTTTTTAATGAAACTGTCAAGTTAAAACCTCAAAAAACTCTTTTTCTTCAAAGTCTTGGTCATATTTCACCCTGAAATAAAAAGAAAGAAATGTGAAATGTGTTTGCTTTAAAAAAAATTAGCTTATTTTAATTTATTTTTTGTTTTTAATTATGACATTGTTTTCATCCCAATTAAGCAACCCCTCATTCGCATTACTGCCACTAAAAGTAAAATGATTTAGAGTCTACTTAAAATGTAAATTATTTCACGTAGTGTCATTGTCTTTTTGTAAATAGTCAAATAATTTGAAAATAATGTCATTATGGAAAAAAATTATTTTAATGATCTTAAAATAGGTCTTAAATGGCTTTAAGCAAAATTTAGTCTATTTTTTTCCCATTGGGGGGGG